TATTAAAATAGAAAAAAAAAGGGATTCTAAATTGAAAAAAAAAAAAAAAAAATCTGATCAAATAAAAGTATACTTGGTAAGTGTAAGAGTCTTCTTTAAAAACCGTTTAAAAAAAATAACTTCTATACATTTTTGAATGGTAGTGTACATAATGTATGCAATATTTCATCCACATAGTGGATCTGTTTCTATAATGAACATTAACAAGACATTTACAAGGCAATAAAAACATTCCAGATCAGTTCAGCAGTAATTTCAGAAATTAAAGGTCAGCCTCATGAATTCTAGAGGAGTTAGTAAGGCTTAGCATTAGCTGGGGAAACATTTTGAAAGAAGCTGTTCATGTGTTTTGCCAAATGAATTAGCATATGCTTGCATTAATGAAAAATGTGTTAATATATTTTGACGTTTAACCAAGTTATAAAACATTAACGTTCTGCATTTGTATGAAAATTATATTATTCGTAGTTGTAGCAGCCAACTCATTGACCTGCAGAGGACTGGACCACCTGGAGGAGAAGGTACCAGCCTTGCAGTATCCACCTGAAGAGGTAATGTGCTTCAAATATCCAAAACTGGTTTCTTAATACCGCTCTGTAAGTTGTTAATTGTATTTGTTTTAACTGTGGGCACACATTTAGCTAAGATGCATATACAAGTATAGTAAAATGTCTGTATTTTAAACAAAAATGTCCTTCTTCTGCTTCCTCCACAACAGCTAACAGCAAGCATCAAGGAGCTGGTGTCATCAACTTTGGAAACTGCCAAGGATAGTGTTACCTGTTTAAGAGTGAAATATGTTTATTTAAATCATTGTGGTACGTTTCTATAATAAAAGACAACGCAGCCATAATTACAATATTCCCCGGTCAAACTTTGCCAGCGTAACGTTAGCCATCAAGTAACGTTAACGATATGGATTTATGATGGTATGATAACGGAGATATCAAGTGATTCTTTATTTGATTTGTAATATGCTACTGAAACATGTTAGTTAATACACTTTATCATAGTGTATCAATGATTTTGATCGTGCAAACGGTTGAAGAAAATACACCTTGTTTGTATGTGTCAGCGACCACACATTCAGTTTTATAGGTTTACTTAAAACGGCTCACTCTGTTTTTCCTTTAATGTGATTGGCCATGAAAGGAATTCTGCCCAGCAACAAGAGGACTAATGCACTGATTGGTGGATTACAAAATTTGTCCTTTTGGCCTCGTCTCGTCTGTTCAGTTGCTGACACCACATTTCAAGAAGGAAGTTTTTCCTTCGTGTGATTTATCAAAAATATCTTAATTTGTGTTCCGAAGATGAACAAAGGACTTGCGGGTTTGGAACTACATAAGGGTGAGTAATTAATGACTGAACTTTCATTTTTGGGTGAAATAACTTTTTAATTACTCACCCTCATGTCGTTCCAAACCCGAAGACTTCAGTTCATCCTCAGAATACTCAGAATGAAATCAGACTGCTTTCTGTCCCTCCATTGACCGCTACGCAACTGACACTTTCAAGTCCCAGAAAGGTAGGAAAGAAATCATTAAAGCAATACATGTGACTCCAGTGGTTTAAGATCAATTTATAAAGGGACTTGGGTGCTTTGTTTGCCCCCCCCCCCAAAAAAAAATTACCTCTTTACACATTATCCAAAAAAGGTTTGCTTAACATTTCTCACATCAACACAACACCAATGTATTGTGATGCTCTTGTGAATGCACGTTGGAGAAAAAAGCCTTGTGAATAAAGTGGTAATTGTTTCCCCTGCAAACAACGCACTAGCATTACTTCATAAAATTGAGGTTAAACCACAGGAGTCTTTATCTAGTATAGGATTACTTTAATAATATATTTTCTATCTTTCTGAGCCTTTAAAGTGCTAGTTGCAAAGGCTGTCAATCGAGGGACAGAGATCTCTGAGAATTCTTTTTTTTTTAAATATCTTCATTTGTATTCGATACATGAAGGAAATCTTACAGGCTTGGAACGACATGAGGGACAGTAATTAATGACAGAATTTGCATTGTTGGGTGAACTAACACTTTAATACACATTTGACACAATTTGTTCACAAATTAGTCAATAGTAATTACTATGTTTTAATTGTTAGATGTCTTCTCAAGAGAAAACTCAGTCCTAAGAGTTATACTGACAGAAGGGGACATAAGGAAGGTCTCCCTGGCCAAGAAGCCTGATTCAGTTGACAGCTTGGTTGTTGCTTTAAAAGAGAGTTTGGGGCTTAATTATAACTTTTCGCTTCAGTATGAAGATCAGGACTTTGGGAATGCACTTTGCAACCTAACAGACATATCAGAGCTTCAAGATAGAGCTACACTGAAAATCATTCCTATAATTGAACTAGTACCATTTAATCAAGAGGAAGTACTGGATGACTCTGCAAGTACAGCCGACACAGAGACACTTTCTACCTCATCACAGGAAAGGAAAACACAATGGCCAAAAGAATTTGAGATCCCTTCCTTCACAGTTGATGTTGAATACCGCCTGCGACAGGGCAACCTGGCCTACCTCAAAGACAGCACATACCTCAAACTGACCAAAGAACTAAAGCATGACATCCTGGAAAAACTGGCTGAAACCATGTTCAGCTTCAAAGCCTATCCAACAAATGATGACTATGCTCAGGTTGCTGCTGCTCTGGTAAATAAGCATCCATGTCTTCTGGAAAGTGGTTCATCTACTGGGTATGGGGGGTGGAAGAACAGTCTAAAATTCAAAATGGGGAATTTTAGATCCAAGATGAGAAACTTGGGATACCCTGATGTAACCATTAATGGAGGAAGGAGAGGCATGAACAACCCTGAAGGAATCCCATCAAGAAAACACATAAAAAAGCCAAAGAAATGTGAAATCAACTTTCTGCCAAACTTTCCAGGACATAATGATGACAGCCTTTAATCGGTTCGTAAAGAAACTCAAGAAGAAATGAAGATGAGAACACCCAGTCCATCCCTTCTTGCACAACAGATGGACCTGACTTTTGCGCTTCGGCGTAAAGAGATTGTTGAGTCCGCACCTGCAATCAGACTTTTCGCTTCAGTATGAAGATCAGGACTTTGGGAATGCACTTTGCAACCTAACAGACATATCAGAGCTTCAAGATAGAGCTACACTGAAAATCATTCCTATAATTGAACTAGTACCATTTAATCAAGAGGAAGTACTGGATGACTCTGCAAGTACAGCCGACACAGAGACACTTTCTACCTCATCACAGGAAAGGAAAACACAATGGCCAAAAGAATTTGAGATCCCTTCCTTCACAGTTGATGTTGAATACCGCCTGCGACAGGGCAACCTGGCCTACCTCAAAGACAGCACATACCTCAAACTGACCAAAGAACTAAAGCATGACATCCTGGAAAAACTGGCTGAAACCATGTTCAGCTTCAAAGCCTATCCAACAAATGATGACTATGCTCAGGTTGCTGCTGCTCTGGTAAATAAGCATCCATGTCTTCTGGAAAGTGGTTCATCTACTGGGTATGGGGGGTGGAAGAACAGTCTAAAATTCAAAATGGGGAATTTTAGATCCAAGATGAGAAACTTGGGATACCCTGATGTAACCATTAATGGAGGAAGGAGAGGTATGAACAACCCTGAAGGAATCCCGTCAAGAAAACACATAAAAAAGCCAAAGAAATGTGAAATCAACTTTCTGCCAAACTTTCCAGGACATAATGATGACAGCCTTTAATCGGTTCGTAAAGAAACTCAAGAAGAAATGAAGATGAGAACACCCAGTCCATCCCTTCTTGCACAACAGATGGACCTGACTTTTGCGCTTCGGCGTAAAGAGATTGTTGAGTCCGCACCTGCAATCAGTGATGTGCTTGAACGTTGGCCTGCCCTCTTCCGTGAGCCTCAGGTAAGTTGTCTTTCTGTTTTCAATGCATAAAAGGACTGTTCACTTAAACGGTTTTCTCATTTAGTCACCCTTATGCAATGTCAGATTGGCATGATAGAGTACTTTTGCAGAACACATTTAAAGGAAAAAAAAAAAACGTACATATTGAAATTCGTACGAGATCAGTGAATTATTGTTTCAGGTTTTCTTAAAGGGGTAGTCCACCAAAAAATTAAAAAACCAAGCTGTTGCTGGTACTCACTGACTAATGCTACTGAAAATACTATAGAAGTAAATGGGAACAAGCAACTATTTGGTTACCATCATAATTGAAAATATCTTCTTTGTGTTCAGCAAAAGAAATAAAATGCAGTTTTACAACAATTTGAGCATGAGTAAATGACGATTTTCATTTTTTAGTGGTCTATTCCTTTAACATGATAAAGCAACATTATTTTTTAGACTTTTTTATAATTCATTTTTTTCTAATTATTTCTTAGACTGTAAAGCATTTCTGTGTAAACGTTTATGTGATTATGTGACCTGGCCTTGTCTCACCCCAGGTTTGCATGGAGTTCAACAGTTAAAACTTTGTAAAGTGAAATATCTAGCTTCCGGCTGACCGCCTTCCGTATTCAACTTACGAAGTGTAACGCCTCTCGCAGTGCAAAACACTTAAGGTACATCCTACATCATACGTCACATCACTTGTGCTTTTTCTGTAAGTTTAATACGGTCCACCGGAAGCTGGATATTTTACTTTTAAAACAAAGTTTTAAATATGGATATTTTTCTTACCAAAACCCATTGAGTCATTTCAGAAGGCCTTTAACAAACTCATCTGTATATTTAAAGGCATGAGTGTGAGTACATTTTTATTTTTGGGTGAAGTATTCCTTTAATATACAAATGTGGCCAACTCTTTTGTACAAGTCTTCAAAATAATAAACTTCATTTATAATGCATACTTTAAAAAGTGTATACAAAATTCTTTGCAGGAAGCATCTACATTTACATAAATTCAAATGTATACATGTCAATATAATGTTGGATTAGGGTTAGTGATTTGTTTTTTTAATAAAATTAGTGCGCATTCTGATAAGCATGCATTAATGATAAACCTTTGATTCCTGATCACAATACTATATTTATACCTGTTTTTTTTCACTAGGTGTCTGATCATCGCAACACTATCCTTGATGTGCCAGTGGAGATCTTATTTGAGGACACTGATCTTCAGCCTCCCAACTCTTTGCATTTGACGTCTTCGATTGGAATAATTCTTGAAGGCCAAGTGGTGATGGACAAAATGCAGGACCTCCCACAGGCAATCTGTCTTCTCTTCGGGCTGATTTACACACTAGACCTGAATTACCCAAAATCACTCGCCAACACGTTTGATTTCATCCAGCGTGTACTAATGTCAATGGGACAGAATGCTCTCAAGCCTAGAGTGCAGTCTCTGGCAAACCAGCTTTTTGCTTAAGAAACGTCACTGTGATACTTTAACACCACCCTTTGTTTTGGGTTTTTCTCCCTCGATTTACTCCATTATTTATTTATGAAGAATAAAAAGTGTTTAAATTGTTAAATGCACAGAGTTCTACAATTGATGTTCAGTAGTTAATTTGGGATATTTTTTTACCATTGTTACACCTCTGGTTGTGACCCAGTAAAATTTCCATTACAGTATAGTTTGTACTGTAATATTGTGACATTTGGGCCAAAGACACTGAACAGAATACATACTGAACAAAGCTTTAATTGTGAAATGTAGTAAGAATTTAGTTCTTATGTTTAGCCTACATGTTCAGTACATTAACAATTGTGAGGCGTAAAAAGTGTAATTAAGTGCACCGAGTTGTACAATTGATGTAAGTGCACTAGTGTTGAACATTTTTACTGTTGTTACCACCTTTACAGTGTGGTTGTGACCCAGTAAAATTTCCACTACAGTATAGTTTGTACTGTAATACTGTAAAAACTGTTTAGGTGAAACTGGTGAAAGACACTATATGTTGAGTATGTTTTATTTTAGTTCGCTATGTTTGCACAAAGCTTAAACGGTCAAATGTAATAGTTATGTTTACATTAACATAATTGTGATACTTGAGTGAAGTATATATGTGCATAGAGTTGTACAATTGATGTACTGCACTAGTTAATTTTGTTACCACCTTTACAGTGTGGCTGTGACCCATTTCCATTACAGTATAGTGTTTACTGTATTTTCATTAATATTGTGACATTTTGTCAATAAAAAGTCAAAGATTAAATATGCTGTTCATTGTTTTATTTCAGTTTGGTGTGCACAAAGCTTGCAGTCAAAAATAACATCATTCAACAGTTTCACTTACATTTCCATGTCGAGTTAACTTAAATATATAAGTACACTTGAAATTAATACCAAGTTAAGTGAACAACAACACAATAATCCACACAACTCCAGTCCATCAGTTAACATCTTGTGAAGTGAAAAGCTGCATGTTTGTAAGAAACAAATCCATCCTTAAGGTGTTTTAACTTTAAACCATTGCTTCTGGCCACAATATGAGTCCATAATCTGTAATAACGCTTCCTATAGTAAATAAAAAGTCCATCCCCTGTTGTCCTTTCGCATCAAAATCCACCGACAATGGATTGAAGTTAAAACCTTCTTAATGATGGATTTATTACTAACACGCAGCTTGAGGATTACTTATATTTTTATGGATTATTGTGATGTTTTTTTTTATGAGCTGTTTGGAGACTCATGCTGACGGCACCCATTCACTGCAAAGGATCCACTGGTGAGCAGGTTCATTTTTGGGTGAAATATTCCTTTAAAATAAAGCGTTACTCAACATTTACCTCTCTATGTAAGGACAATGTGCATTACATGTGTTCCTGACCTGTTTAGCTTCTGCATTCAGTGCATTATGTTATGTGGTCGTTTGATAATTTACTAAACTGACTTATTCCTTTGATTCCTTAGAAACAGAAAAGTAAAGTTTCCTGTGTACAGCTCTCTCTGTTTTATCCCTTGTTTATCCATGAGTGTGAAAGTGTGTCGAACGGGATAATTCCTTCCTCACGTGGCCCTAAAGAAGCAGCATGCTGCTGGTTATTTCTATCCCAATACAGTTAGAGCATTTTTTCATGCTTGTGTCTTTCTGTGGCCATGTTTAATGGTACATTCAGCAGAGAGAATCGGTTTAGTGTGTGTTTTGTCTGCCTTTGTAAATTGAATTGGATTGCATTTAACGTTGGATATTGAGCGAGAGGGCCTGAATGCCTCTGTAGCCCTGAGCTTAGTAGTAATGTGTGGCATTATTACATTGGGGGCTGTTTGTTCTGTTTATACACAGAGAGGAAGTGCTTCCTGAGGAACTTCTCTTTTTAACCCTTATGTATTGAGATCATTTATAAATCTGCCCTGAAGATACAGTGCTAAGAAACTCTCTTTCTTCATTTCAGCCATCTATTTGTTTTTGTCATTTCCTAGCCTGAAGGAATACATTTCCTCCCACTATGTGGGAAACCAGTGCTATAGTTGTCACAGTAGTGGGCCATGTCACAGATGGGTTATGTTGTCACAGTGAAGCCTGCACAAACCAATTCATGTAATAAAAAAAAAAATGTAAAAGAAAAATATATATACAACAAAAAAATTCAAATGTAATTTTTAATTGTATATACTTATAAGTTAAATCAATATAAACAAATGGTATCATTTAATGCATCTTAGTGAATAAAAGTATTTCTTTCAAAAACATTCAGATCTTTCTAAGATTGTTTTAAAATAAATTAATACTTTTAATACAATGATCAAAACTGACAATAAAGGCATTTATAGAGTTAGAAAAGGTTTATTTAAAATAAATGCTGTTCTTTCTAGTCATTAAAGATTCCCAAAAAATGTACCACAGTTTCCACAAAAATATTAAACAGCGCATTATTTAATATTGATAATAAGAAGGAATAAATTGCATTATAAAATATATTGTAATGGAGTAGTTATTTTAAATTGTAACAATATTACTGCTTTTACTGTATTTTTGATCAAATAATGCAGCCTTGGTGAGAAAAAAATCTTACTAACCCCAAACTTTTGAATGCTAGACACACATATATATAGAGAACGATACTGTTTTTAAATGACTAAATATAAAAAAAAAGTAAGTCAATATATTATATTACAGTTTTTCTCGATTGCTAACACACAATTCATGAAACAGTTCACCATGTTCTCACAACTATAAACACAATCTCAAAACTACACACCAACTTGTGCAAACTTCAAACTTCCAGTTCAAAATCAAATAGTTTAGTCAAAAACATGTTCTCTTTTGTCAGACTCAAACTTTGGCCTCAGATGATACACAAACCTGTCAAATACACAGACTATTTTACTGACTAGAGAACACTAGTGAGATCAATTCAAAACACTGTAACAAAAACCTTCTTTTGGGAAATAGGAATCCTTTTGCTAGTCAATGTCTGTTACAGTATAAGACATAAATAGAGGGATGCAAATACAGTAAAATTAAGCAATAAACTTTAAGAAGTTTTCTTTCGTTACACTACTGTAAAGAGATCTTACAGTAGATGAAAAGCACTAGAAGAGAAAAGTTCAAAAACCAAACAACAGAATATGCAGTAAACACACATTGGAATTTATTGTCAGTTACTGTAAATAAATAAATAAATAAATTCATTCATTCATTCAGCATCTTCTGCCAAATTATATTACAGTACTGTAGGCCAACTTCCCTCATGGTCAGTCCATGCAGAAGAACATGGTCAACTATAGCGCTTTGTATTTCATCAGGAACAAATGAAATTTGACTCATCCCCTTCATTTTTATTTTCCCCTCCAGCCTGTGCAAAATGATGGCATTTTTGTGTAGAGTTTTGCAGAAAACAATGAGCAAATTGGAACGCGTGTGCAAACAGGTGAAATGTGTTAAAGGGGTCATATGATGCTTTTTTAAAGATCATTATTTTGTGTATTTGGTGTAACAGAATATGTTGACATGCTTTAATGTTCAAAAACCACATTATTTTTCAAATACTGTACATTATTGTAGGTCCTCTATGCCCCGCCTCTCTCAAACGCTTCGTTTTCTACAAAGCCCCCTCCTTTGACAAGCGCAGTCCGCTCTGATTGGCCAGCTGACCCAGTGCACTGTGATTG